CCCCCCCCCCCCCCCCCCCCCCCCCCCCCCCGGTCAATGGTGTCCCTCTTTACCAATCTGAAAATCTGGTCACCTTAAGGGAGGATGACGTTGCAGATTGCCTGTCCAATCAGAATAACTTTGGTTAATGATTCGTGAACATTTCTTGGTTCATAATTGGCTTTGAGACCTGAACCCCATCTCTCACTATTGGGTATAACAAGTCAGAAGCATTATAAGCAGGGTGTGATCTGAGAAAGCCTAGCCAAATTCTATAAGCAAATTCCAAGACAGAGAGGCAGGTTAGTGCTGAAGTTTTGAGCCGGAAAAGGACCCATTGGCAAATAATTGTTGAGTAGTGGACTGCTCTATAATATTAATCTGTGTTATAATACTTCATAGTATGCAATATTTATTTCTCCCAAGAAATAATAGCAAAAAAAATTCTATAATTTGTTCACAATAATCTGAAAACTTTCAAAATGCTTGCTTGAAACAACCAGAGCTAGGCTGCTCCTGGTTCAGCCCGGATTGGGCAAACCAGTAGCAGTGGTGGGAGACACTGCCCACTTGCCCAGACACTTCTGTGCATGCGCAGAAGTGTTGCAAGCACGCATGGGAACATGCCCAAACCGGTAGTAGAAAAATTGGCAACCCACCTCTGGAAACAACGATAAGAAAAGCTAGGGAAAACATTACGAAACAACAGAGATTAATGAGAAAATACAATGAACTGTATTACAAAAACTTGATTATAGCATAAAAACACATGCCAGTACTATGACCAATAAGACACAGAATGAGTTACAGAATGAAGCCATGATCCAGAATGATTAGAAATGGCCGTGTTCCCATGTGTCTTGAGCTGGTGGGTAACATGTCATGTGGATACCCTACTGCAGGCAGCTGATCTCATTAATCAACCTTGAGAGATTATGGTTAGGCTTAAACTTACTGGCATTGTAAAGTATCCTTCCCCAATCAGCTGGTACATCAGAACAGCAACTTCCTTCCTGCCATGATGGAGAGAAAATTAGAGTAGTAGTTTGTTTTCACATCTCCTGTGGCCACCATGGCTGTGAAAAGGAGGTAGAAAATGTGGAGTGACTAAACACAGTTTTTGTTTTTTTATTTTAATTTAAAATGGACTTTTAAAATTGTCAGGAGAAAAAAAAATACAAGAAATTATCCCTTTGGGGCAGCTGGGAGGCGATCATATTAGGCAATTTATAACTGCCTTAGTTATTCCAAATTGTGTGCTGCTAATTCATAGATATAAGTGAGTTGACTAAGGGAGAACATGGTCTAGTATTTTGGATTAAGAACAGCAATATTATATTATTATTATTATTATTATTATTAATAATAATAATAATAATAATAATAATAATATAGTTTATTTATAGTCTGGTTGTTAGCCGCCCCGAGTCCCTCGGGAGTGGGGCAGCATACAAATTAAATAAACATAAACATAAACATAATTAAAGTACATTTTTTATTTTGATAGTTTTATTCTTGGATCAGTGTTTACCACTCAGAGTCTTTCTTCATTGAGGAAAGTTATATTGCAAATAGAGCCATATGTACTCAGCTTTGAGAGGGTGCTCAAAACTTTCGTGCACTTAAAAACTGAGTAGCAGAACTTGGGAAATATTAAAGAAGAAAGTATATCTCAGAACACGCAGAAAGTATTTTGCGAGCCATGCAGAGGTGGTATTCAGCAGTTCTGGAGAACCAGTAGCGGAAATTTCGAATGGTTGGGAGAACCAGTAAATATCACCCCTGACTGGCCCCGCCCCCATCTATTGTCTGCCTCCCGAGTCCCAGCTGATCAGGAGGGAATGGGGATTTTACAGAAATCTTCACCTGGAGTGGGGAGGGAATGGAGATTTGACAGTATTCTTCCCCTGCCACGCCCATCAAGCCATGCTATGACCACCAAATCACACCCACAGAACCGGTAGTAAAAAAAAATTTAATCCCACCACTGAAGCCATAGCGTGCTCTAAATGCATTTTACATCCAAGTGAAAAAAAATATGCGTTGCTGGCTAAGATTAGAAAATGCTTCTTAGAAACAGAACAGTGCTCATAGTGGTCATCTGTAAATTATAAATATTTGGCAGAATGAACTCTTGGATACACATGAATAAAAGAAATTATGTATATAGGTGCTTGGTTGACTGAATTATTGAAGAAATGTATGATAGATACAGGGAAATAAAAACATCTTAAAAAACCCTTTTGTTAACAATAAAGTCCAAATGGTAAATATAAGAAGCAACAGATTGCACCAACCCAAATAAAGTCATAGCTTCCTTTTAATATTTTTGCTTATTCTTTGTTAATGCAAACAAATGTAATCTACTCTTTCTTCATCTGCTGCTTTCCAGTTGTGCTGGACTGCAATTCCCAGTATTCCAAACCAGTTGTATTCCATCATGAGGGCAACATATTGCAGGAATGTAGTAGTGAGATCTCCTAACACAAAGGCTTGGAAGATGGACAGTCCTAATGCAGGGCACACCTGTGCAAATACCAAAAATTATACTTAATAGATGTCATACGTCACATTTTTCAGCACTGTTGTACATTTGAATAGTTATTGAATGAACTGTTGTAAGTCCAGGAGTACCTGTAATAATTTTTCCATTACTTGAACATTGTGCCCGGGGGAACTAACACACACCAGCTCCCAATGTTGTTCTATCTACCTCAAAAATATTTGGGTTTCAAGTAGCAAAATATTTGAACTCCTTCCTAATATAAAGAAATCCTGCCCACCCAACTACCCCAGTTACAATTCTTTTAGGGGGGAACGATGCTATAATACATAAAGCCCACACAAGTAGCCCACATTATTCAAATGTGGAAAAATGCTCTGACATCTGTGAAATCCCCATTTCTGTCATCTGTTTGGTATTCAAATCAAAGAGCTGGTATTTCCCAGCAACAATAAACTTGCTTGTGGCAATTGGCCAATTTCCAACAAAGTGATGTGAGAACTTTCAGGTGGAACTTAATAGCTTTCCTACAGCCCTGGAAGAGAAGAACTTCAGTCAGGATGTAAGAGCCAGGGGAACCGTGGATAAAGACCATTGATGCCTTTGGAGGAAAGATTAGTGTGCAGTCTAGTGGCTCTCCATCTTTACTTTTGCAAATTGGAGATGGAGGATGAAGTAGTCTAACAAAATAGCGGATTAAGGCTCACTGGTGTCCTAAGCACTGGCAAATCTTGGTGCCCCCCTCCTTTGTACATACTGTACAAATCTTCGTCATTTTTTTCTTTCTTTCTCAACTTTGTGGCGTTTGGTGCTTGGTGCTCTAAGCATGTGCTTAGTTTGATTAATGGTTGTTAATACACCACTGGTCTAGCATATCTGAAGGAAAACGATCAGTTTGTGGAATAAGATATTCCCTGACTCTATATTCTCTCTTTTTCTTTTCAGGCCTCCTCGTTTTTCTTTTCCAATCAGTTCTGCTCCAAAATCAAGGTAAGCTTCTCTCGGATCAAGAAATTGTTGGAAGCACTAGAAAGCTCATTTAAATCCACTGTCATTAAACAAATTTGTTTTCTCTTGAGTAGGTATATCAAAATGGGACTGCAAAAGTATTGATTACTAAAAAATGTCAGGGTGGAGAATTAATTCTTTAGGTCCAAATATTGGTAGATTTACTCTTGACTACTGTAAACTCTGCTGAAATTCCAAAAGCAAGAGTTGTTCGGTCACATTCAGAAAAAAAAAATCAGTTTATTCAGACCAAGAGATGCTGAAAGAAAAAAGAAAAAACAACAGTAGGAGCATGTCTTATAAAACCATGGTTTTTCAAACGAATTCGTGTAATTATGCACCCTTGGAATTTAGTTTACATTTTAGACATTTAAAATGGATATCTGGTGTTCTTAAGTATCACAATGAGCCTAAGCATGACACATCTTCCAAAGAGAAAACCATGGACTTCTGCAGGCAGTTGAGATGGAACTGGTTATCTCCATTTAGAGCAACAGGAAAGAAGACGATGGGGAACCAGGATGGAAGCTGACTAGTGGTATATAGATGGATGTCAGGTAAAGTTGATAACTCAGAGCCAGAGATGAAGCCTTATGCAGAAGCAGCTGCGCAAATAATAAATTCAGAGGTTATCAAGACCCCTTGGTTGAACTGTTTGTAAAAAGCTTTATAGGACTATCAGTAAAAAACAGATGGGACTGTAAATCTGTCTTCTCTGCTTTTGCAATACATTTAAAACTTCTTGGCTCAAAAGTTTTAATTCTGAAGAGGTGCTTCCTTGTCTTGCCGACATTTAGTTTGCTATTCCCATAGTTAAAGAAATCCAGACATCATCTTGTTTATGCACAGGTAACTAATTCCAGTACCCTGCTGTGTTCTAAATACATCCTACATCTTATAAATTAATAATACTTTGTGCAAGTAAGACATAAGTTTGAGATGTGTGTAAAATCACTTAGAGATGGGAAGATAGAATATAAAATAATAAGAGCTAAATACAATTACACTGCTGTGTTTAAATCTTAACAGTTAATGCAGAAATTGCAACAAAATTGATGATAGTGAGGACAGATATTTGCTAGGCTATTTGGAAATATACTTTTGAAACCAATTTGCTTTTAAGGGAAGACTTGGATAAACCTGGATCTCTTTACTCTAGAACTATGAACCATGTCCTTTCAAATGACTAAGGTTTTTTTTTACACACTATAAATTCTACTTCTGTTGCCCCAAAACACATTTTCAGGATCTGCCAGACATTTTAGGAATTTGTGAAGCATTGAATGCCAAGACAGTCAATTTATTTCACATTATATCACTCAAGAAAATTGGGGTTATCAGAAAATCCTAAACAACAGAAATAAATGTACAGAATTGTGGCTCCTGTCATAATGCCTCCTGTCCAAGGCTTGAGATGAAAGGCAACTGCATGTTCCCATGGGTTCAAATATATTTGAAACCTATTTATGCCAAATAATAATATAAGGTACTTGGAATGGAATAAACAGGATGCTATCTACCTGGATCTGTATGGGATGTTGGTGCTGGATCCAGTTTGGAGGATGTACGCTACAGCACAGCCAGTAGCATGAACTTCTTCTAGCTAATGTTGCTCTTATCTCTATATATTTTAAACAAATTGTAACTATTACAGCAAATCTGATGTAGGCATTCATGACTGTGACTCAGGATATCGGGTTTGCCTGGGTGGTGATGGGAAAACATTGCAGGCATGGGACATCCTCTGTAAGATTTCAACTAACCAGGGAGGTTGGGTTGGGGGAGTATAGGGAAAAATATTGTTAGAACAGCAGCAGCAGCAGCAGCAAAAAATGAAAAAAATAAAATCTTTCCTTATTTCCTTAGAATAAGGAAATGGTACCTTAGGTTTAATTTCTAAGATTTCATTTGTCATCTGAAAATAGCTGACAAACCTTAAAATCCAATACAGGTAGTCCTCGGCTTATGACCACAATTGTGCCCAAGATTTCCATTGCTAAGTGAGACAATTGTTAAGTGAATTCCCCCCCCCCCATTTTATGTCCTTTTTTGCCAAATTTGTCTAGTGAATCACTGCAGCTGTTAAGTTAGTCACATGATTGTTGACGTGGCTAATCAGAAGGTCCCAAAAAGTAATCACATAACCTAGGGACACTGCAACTGTCACAAATATGAACCGGTTGCCAAGCGTCTGAATTTTGACCCATGTGTCCATGGGGATGCTGCAACCGTTATAAATGTGAAAAGCACACTGCA